GGGGGTCTGCCCCCCCCCCCCCAGGCTCCCCAGGGGTATGCACAGTGGCAGGGAGCTGCCCCTTCCCTGCACTGCCCTTGGACATGCTGCCCACAGCTCTGGTCCACTCCCTTCCTCACCATAGGGGCCTCAATCTGCCACCCCCCACTCCTTCCCTCTCCCACTGCCCATTCCCTTCCACAGAATTACCTGCTGCATGCTGTCTGTGCACATCTATGTGCCCCTCACTCCCAAGCTACAGCACCCCTGGCCCTGCTACTGCCCCTGACTTCTGACCCACAGTACCTCACATTCTGAGGACGAGGGTTTGTGGGTGTGGTGGAGTGTGCATGGGTATGATGGAGTGTGTGCACCCCCCCGAGCCATTGGGCACTCGCCCCCACCCTGCAACAGCCCAGAGCCCGGACACCCTACAGCACCTCCCCAACAGTGCCAGCAGCACACAGTCCCAGCATGCCCTGCACCCACTCCAGACTCGCCCCTGCTGGAGCAGGTTAGCTGGAACCCACACACAGCCCTGACCCAGCCTGCCTCATTCTGCCCAGCCGTGATGTGTCCTGCCACCCCCTGGGTATGCAGAGGAGCTGGGGTGGCTCCACAGCTAGATTGCCTTTCTAGGCAGCCCAGGTGCAGGTGGTTCCTTCCGGCTGCTGGTACTGCTAGTCCCAGCCCTGTGGGTCAGCACTGGTAATGCAGAACAGACACAGGGCAGTGCAGCATGGGCTTTGGGCAGTGCAACATGGGATTTGGGCAGCTGCAGCAGGGAACTGTTGGCTGCAGGAGAGGGAGGGGCCACTTTTCCCTGCACTGAGCAACAGCTGCTATGCTGTCCTGTTGCTGCTGAGCCTGGATGGGTGAGTGCGGGGTGCGTGGGGTCGGGGCCAAGCAGCATGGGTACCGTGGGGCTGGGGCCAGTGGCGATGGCAAACAGAAGGATCCGCCTGCCTCCTGGGCTGCCTAGAAAAGCAGTCTAGCTGGGGAGCCACCTCCACCCTGCTGCATTCCCAGGGGGCAGCAGGACATGCCACGGCTGAACTGTGCCTGGGCCAGGGGACCGAGGGACCTGCCATGGCCTGGATAAAGACTCGTGGGCTGTATTTTGCCCACCCCTGCTTTAAATGAAGGGCACACAGGTGATATTTTGCTGCTTTGCAGCTTTTCTCATTCATCACAAATGGGTACTGTCTTTTGACGGAAAGTTATGGGGTAGTGTTGCTTTTGGTTCCAGGCAGACTCCAACCCTTCAACTCCTGCCACCAGAATATCTGCCTTTATTGGCCAAACAAGTTGGTGCTTCATTTGGTTCATAGAACAACTACTTTGTTTTATAACTCTAGTTTACTTAATGCAATAGCAACTTCACTATAGCTTCTAATTTAACTGAGCTGAGACACCACTAGGACCTTGAGGCATTAACCTTCCAAACAGGAACTTTGGGTTAAAACCAATTGTTACATTAAAATATAATGTAAAAATAAATTTCTTGTTTTGGTACCCTAAGTTTGGTCCAGCAGTACTGCTACCAGCTCTACCATACCTCCAGAATATTACATAGAGTCCAAGAATGGAAGCACACTACAGAGACTCAAACACTCCCCTGGAGCTGTTCAGACCAAAAGTTTTTCCTATATTTAACAAGGAAAATGTACTTAGCGGCAAAAAAGCAGCTCATCATCTATGAGCTAGAGTATGAACCTTGCTTTGAAGAGAGAGAGAACTTGGGTTCATGCTCTGGTCAAGTGCTTATTATGATTTGTAGCAAAGATAAAAGGAAATATTGTTACATCCATGAACAGCATTAAGTCATTCTGAACAAATACCAGGTACATCCAAATGCACAGGTGTGAGAATCTCTGGGGAAACACTGGAGAAATTAATAGCTAAGAATGTGGAGAGGCCTTGCCTCTGGCTGTCAAAACCAGCATACCAATTTGTAGGTCATTATGAAATCTACTGTTGATTAACAGTAACATTTCTCATAAATGAAAGGAAAAATATGGAGGAAGCTAAGGGTGCATTTTCTTCCTAAATTAGACTATCTCCAGAATGAAAAAGACAAATGTGCATATGTGAATAAGTCCTGTTCATGACTTCCTTTTGATTTGGCCTCCAAATCCAGAGGCTCTTAAGTTTTGTATCACTTTCCATGACAATGTCATTCAGTGCCAGAACAACCTAAAAAATCAGCTCACTGGCTGCGAAAAGGGTTCAAATGCTTCTTTAAAAAAAAAAAAAAAAGGAAAAGAATTTATGAATTAATTGCAGAGAATTGCTTATCCCCAGGTCAAAATAGACAGCAGTTGTTGGTACCAGGCATCAATATCATCCTGAGTGGCGTTTCTTAAAGACTTGTCTTCAGAAATTCTTTCAGGAAATGGATTCACTTGCCAGAAGCGATGCAAAATTAGGTGCAATTCCCAGATCATATCTTGCATGCTCACAAACGCACATTTAGGATAAACATGCTGAAGACAACCCAATTTTCACTCTTGACCGGGGGCAGGAAAAGTCTGGCCCGCAGACTGCATCGGGTCTGATGTGGACTTCATTTCCCCTGCCTCTGTCACTGGTGGGGCTCCATG